ATGAATCAGGAAATATTGCCAGGAAAATTCATGGTATTTAAATATTTCTGCTGAAGGAAAATAATACTAAATAAAGAATTTTTTCTTGAGTCAAGAATGTAAAAATATCTAGCTATATTCTCATTTTTGTTGCTAAATGCCGTCAAGCTGTTTCAGACTCATGGCAACCCTGCATAGGGTTTCCGAGGAATTGCTTGTGAGTTTGAACTGTTGATCTTAAAGTTCAGTGTTCATTCTACAGCACTATTTTCATCTAGGCAAATTAACTTGCATCTTTTTACCTGAAGCTGTCCTTGTTCTCCTTTCATATACCATGGTTCAGGAAGGAAAACTTTTAAATTAATAATTCTTTTCTTAAGTGCAAGAACTGCATTTTATAACCAGTATTTCACACAAGACCTGGGACAGAATAATGACCCAATAATTTTTTTTGTGAATTAAGAAATACAAATGTTAAAAGAAACTTGGAAGACAATTGACTTGAACCTCTCTTTGAATGTATAAATCTCTTCCATACCTGTAGTTGCTAACTTAGTTGTTATTTTTAATTTTGATTAAAATAAATTATTTATATTTTGGTTCATTTTTTCTGTTTACATGTTCACTATCAGTTCCTGAAAACCCTTTGAAATAAAGTATTACAATACCCCCCAAATTATTATAATGATGCATTTATTATTGCTCCCTGGATAATGATAGTGGTGGTAGTAGTGAGTTGTGGAGTCAGTTCCGATTCATAGTGACCCTGCACAGGGTTTCCAAGGTTGTAAATCTTTATAGGAGTAGCAAACCTCATCTTTCTTCTCAGGAGCGGCTGGTAGATTCTAACTGCTGACCTTTTGGCTAGCAACTCAATGTGTAACTCACTATGCTGCCAGAGCTCCTTAATGCTACTGTTGTTGTTAAGTGCCATTGAGTAGGTTCCGACCCATAGCGACCCTGTATAAGGTTTCTAAGGAGCAGCTGGTAGCTTTGAACTGCCAGCCTTGTGGTTCACAGTCAAGTGTTGATCCTATAATGCCACACCAGTAATAACTCATATATAAACATAAGACTACTGGATACAGCATTTGTCTTTACTTATTTCCCAAAATGTGGATAGGTTTTGCAGATTTCATTACACAGATTTTTATTTGGATCAATAAAATCTATTTGAAAGCTAGTTTATTAATGCTGGTGTGGCACTGTAGGATAAGCACTCAACGCAAGATTGGTTTGAACCACAGAGCTGCTGGTTCAAATCCACCAACTACTCCTCAAAAACCCTTTACAGTGTCACTATGAGTCGGAGCCAACTCTATGGCCCTTAACAACAACACCAGTGTAGCTGGTGATGGACTCTTCATTTGAATTTTTTCATCTCAAATCCAAAATGTCTGGAAGGGAATGTTGTGTTGTTGTGAAGTGCTGTCGAGTCGGTTCCAACCCATAGCGACCCTGTATAGGGTTTTCAAGGAGCAGCTGGTGAGCTTGAACTGCCAACCTTGCAGTTCAAATGGCTTTTCAGTCTGGCACATTAACCCACAGTGCCACACCAGTACTTACAGCATATAAATGTTAACACATGTAGGGCGTAGAAAAATCCTATTTTTTGTACCTGAATGAAATAACACTGAAACAGTTTGGAAACTAGCAACACATTTCCATTTTGGAGCTCATAAAAATAACATAAATTGTGCAAAAGTAATATAATTTACACAGAAACCATTTGAGAGATATCTTGAAAGGATCTATGTTTTATTCTTTTATTTATGCCACCGCTAGTTCATTTCTTCTCTCCTTTAAATTGAATTTCAAATACTTGATGAATCTCATTTAAGGGGAAAATCCTTAATTCATGTGGTAAGGGAAAGGGTCTCAAACATCATAGAAGCAAGTAGTGTGGTAAGCAACTTGTACTTGAAAAGAAAATTTAAAAAATTCAAAAAGTCATCCTTAAACAAGAGTTAGTTACCATCTCTTCCATTTCCACATAATAAAAGAACAACTCTTTGAAACCAAGAAGGCAAGATAACACATTTGTCACACTGCTCCCTTGTCCCCAACTTCAAAGAACCTGCCAGCATTGAGCTGAGAAATGCTCAGCTCTTAAACAACTATTCTTCAGCTCTTTGCTGAAAGCAGGTACATGTTGATTACAACAGAACACTCTAGAAAATATTTGCTAAATTTGCTTTCAACTCTGTCCTCTATGGGTTCATGACCTGAAGGTTGCACGCCTACATAAGCTCTTACAAAACTGCATTAGAAGTATCTCCTTTTCAGAGATAAAGCAAATGCAGCAAACAGTTGATGAATCTAGGTGAAGGACGTAGAGGTACTCATTGAGCAATCCTTGTCACTTCTCTGTAGGTGGTTGGAAGACAGGATCTTAGGTGTATAATGGTTAAACAGAAATGCCTGCTGAGCTATTGAAGCTGGTGGTATGTCATAGAAACGATAATTTTTGCCCTATGTGGGGAAGTCTTTGTTCAGCGTAAAGGCAATCCCTTAGTCATTTTGGTTAGCTGATTCTCTTGGTTCCAAATTGCAAAGAAATTGGAAGTGTGTGGCCCAATTGAACATACCCATTATAGTTACTGCACAAAACCATCTTTAATCATATAATAAAATACAATATAGTTCTCCCTCTATACTTGGAGGGACATTAATTTAAAATAGATTAACTTTCAACTAATCTATTATCTTCACAAAGTAATGAGCTAAATAAAATTTTTTAGATACTGTTGTGGCTAGTAGAAGTTACCTTACTATTATCTTCATAATCATGGCACTTGAATGGGAAAAATCAGATATGTGAAACGTCTTACCTTTGTTGTTGTTAAGTGCCATCGAGTCGGTTCTGACTCATGGCAACCCCTTATAGGGTTTCTAAGGGCTGGTGAGTTTGAACCATCGACCTTGTGGTGCAAACTGACCTTGTGGTCTAGTGCTTTATCCTACAGTGCCACAAGGCTTAATCTTTGTCTATAGACTTATATGTTACACATTGCCAGAAGTGGTCAGTGTGTTTCTGCTGCTTGCATATTAACTCAGAATTGATGACAGAACTACTCAGGTTAGATAGTCTAAACTAAATCTGTGGTTTTACTTCAAGCTCTAGGAATTCATTAGATTTTCTATGTGTGCACAGGGAGATAAGGAAGGTCTGAGATACATAACTCTGGATTGGGTTCCTGTCACTTCCCATTCAGCGTTTGACTCAATGGGCTTTTGACATTCTTAGCTTTGCCTCAAAACTTCTACATTCATGTATTTTGCATATTTTCTATGTGTTTTTTCATTGAAAAAAGTAAGGGGGATATATACATATATATTTATGCTGCTGTTGTTGTTAAGTGCCTTTGACTTGGTTTTGACCCCCTAGTGATCCTATATAGGGCTTCTGAGGAGCAGCTGGTGAGCATCAGAGGATGTCTGGGGAAGTGCTGTTGGCAACAGAAACATCATATGCCATGGCAGATCCCCAAAGGATATGGCCTATCCTGGAAAGGTAGAAGATCTGTTGTGACAAGAATGTAAGTGTGTACTCATGGGAGCAGGATACTGGGACCAAATAATAAACCATCCTCAGGTCCAACTAGGAAATTTGGATTTTAATGTATAGATAACAAGGTTAACATTAAGCAGGAAAGTGACTTGGTCAGAATTTCTATTTTTAGGCCAAAAGATATGATGGCAAAATAATGGATAGACAGAGTAGGAGTGGGGATGGGGCAGGCTACATATTTATTATCCATGAGTGGTACAGGAAAATCAGGTAAAAGTCAAATTTGAGCAACATTTCCAAGATAGAAATTAAAAGAATTCAGGGATGGTTATATGCACAGGATAAGAAGACGAGCTTCAGGATAATGTATTTCCATGAAAAGTAGACAACAATGAACTGTGAGTTCTACTTGATGATGATTATTGATGACTATGTGCCATGGACTCTGTCCTGACTCACAGTGAACCTGTATAGGGTTTCTGAAGTTGTAAATACTTAGGGGAGCAGAAAGCCTCATCTATCTCCCATGGGATGACTGGTAGTTTTGAACTGCTGACCTTGAGGTCAACAGCCCGAGTTGTAAACACTACACTACCAGAAAAGTAAAACCTAGGGCCATCGGGTTACTTAGGACAGTTGGAAAGAAGTGCTGGAAGAATGCAAGGTATAAGAAATGCTGAGCGATGGCATCCCCTTTCATGTTATAGGAGAATGAATAACTCACTTCTACTTCAGTTTTGTATGTAACTATGTAAAAAGCAAAACCAAAAACCTACTTGAAGTCAATAGGCCGAACTTCCAAGGGCAATAAGCAACTGCTACTTTCTATTTGCCAATTTCACAAAAAGAAAGCAAAGTAAAGCAAAACAAAGAGCTGCAGAGTTGATCTTGATTGTCCTGGTGGAATCTGTGACCTTGATGTGTAGATAAGTGGCAGAGTTTCCCTGGTGAAGGATAAGATTTAGAATCCTCAAATATCTAATATCAGTTTATCAGATATTTGAGACTGGGAGTGTGTCCCTTTTGTTAAAAATTCAATGTCTCACTGAACTTTGGCTATGCACATTACAAAATAAGAACACATTTTTTTATTGCAACAGAGACCAGTTTAATTAACACATCTTTTATAAAACTTTCTGCAACAGATCTTACATAAATAAATAGTTTTTAAAGTGGGATTTTTTTTTTTAAATTAACGATTTTTGTTGGCTTTCTAGTAGAAGAGAAAACTGCTGTTTCTAATTTGAAACTTCTCATGATTAATTGGAATAGAAATTCTGATTACTGACCCTGTTCAGCCTTTCAATTTTTTGGTGAGCAGTAAAAATGAAGAATATGGAAGAAAGGTCTGTGCTATTTTTAATACCATTTATCTTAAATGCCTTTTCCAAAATGTCACACTCACAATCTTTTGACAGCTTTTGCAGGATGTAATGTATGAAAGAGAATTCTAATAACATAATGTACAAAAGTGTTGTCACATATAGAATAAAAATCTATGTTTTGGGGACTATTGCTGGGGAAAGAAGGGTCTGATCTTCATAGATATCTTCTTCATTGAATACCATGACCCCTTCCAATTCATCCAGACTACTCCATCATCTGTGCCATGTTTTGCCATATCCCAGCTGTAACGTCCTCCCCAGTAGTATCTGCCATTTGGATTGGCTGCATGGCATCTATTATACCACCATCCACCACCGTCCTCTTTAGAGCACTGTTTACTTGGATCTGCAGTTACCCTAGGAAGAAACGTTATTAAAAGGGTTATTTAAAATGTTATTATTAGAGTTGTTAAAAACAGAACTACAATGCTACACTTTTGTTCTCTGCAGAATACCCACAGAAAACTGCTACATTTTGTCATGTGCAGAGCATTCCTTCCCTTGACTTCTATCAATAAAGTCACAAGAGTACCCTAAAGGTCTTATTTGTCCTTTACCAAGAAACAGAAAGAACTATGTGGTGAATTCATCTAGGAATACTATTTGTTACTTCATACTGCAGTGATAGTTTTCAGATCCCTTAATATTATAGACACTTGGAAAACAAAATATACACTAGAATATGGAGACATAAATAATTTTCTAAACATTCATTGGAGTCCTGATATGGCACTGTGGGTTAATGCACTGGGCTGCAAGTTCGGTTTGAATGGCAAGATTGGTAGTTCAAGCTCACCAGCCGCTCATCAGAAGCCCTATACAAGGTCAGTATAAGGCGGAACTGACTCGATGGCACTTAACAACAACAACAAACATTCATTATTCAGAAAGAAGCTGTGGCTTAATTCAAGCTGTCTGTTAGTAGTTGTATTACTTTAAATACTAATTTAATATCTGTAAACTTCATCTGTAAAATAAGAATAATAATGCCTTGAGTCAGAACCGATTCGAATGCACTTAACAACAACGATGACAACCTTATAGCTGAACTATCCAATTGTATAAAGAGCTTAGTACAATGGCTGACACATAGTAAGTAAGTAATAGCAGTTTTTTAATGACTGCCGTTATTATAAATGATTTTGAATAGCAATGTTAGTAGTGTCTTTTAAAGCAAGAGTGAAGGATGCAGCACATACCAGCCATCGTTGTCTCTGTCATAAGTGCTGAAGTACATGCCGTTGTGAATGGTCATGGTTCTGTTTTCTCCCACCAGTTGGGAAGCTCCATCTATGAGGGCGTTACCAGCTGTGCCTTTATACTTGTCCACTGAAATTTGGTATTTGTTGGCCTCATTCTGTACAGTGAATCCTCCATAGAGGGCCTTCACTTTACCTCCTTTCCAATCTTCCATCTCAATCAAAAGTTCTGTGGGTCCCATTTTGGTAAGATGGCTGATTTTATCATTGCCAAGCCAATACTCACCTATAGGTTAAAAAACAAAAGAAAATCTCACCAAAAAGAAAACCTTTGGAAACGAAAACAACAAACAAACTCCCTTTCTTTTCTTATCTTTAGTGTTCACACTTTTATAATTAAACTCTTCATAACCTCCCCAAGCTCCTGAAAACAGATTGCTAACATTTTATGCTTTTCGAAATGGGGGGTGGGTGGGGTGGGGACCCAACAATTTAAACAGAGTAATTTTGTCTTTTACTCCAAGTTTTACCTGGTAGGCCACAGAACTTTTTGCCATCTTCATTGGTTGCAATGTTTCCAAATCCTTGTTTATATGGATCCCACTTCCTGCCAAAGTCAACACTGCCATCTTGGCGGTTCTGAATTACTGTCCATCCTTTAGTTGAAGGCAACAAAAACAGCACATATAAACCAACAATGTCACTTTGAGGGGAATGTCTGGATCATTTGGTCCATTCAGTCTATTATATGACCACTTATATGCAGTACTCCAAAGAAGATATAATAAGGAAATAATTATGAAAGAAAAAGTTCTAAAATCTTTGTAAGGAAGTGCTTTACCTCATCCCACATTGCTAAAAACAGCAGGTATTTTGCAACTTTCAAAAATATCAGAATAAGTTGCATATATAGTGTCTTACTGTTTGCTACATTACAATTAGCTTTTATATCTTGCCCTTTAGCGTATCATAATAATCATAGCATGGCTGCTCTGTAGGATAAGCACTGGATTGCAAACCACAAGATTGGAGGTTTAAGCCCATCCATTAAAGATGAAGCTTTCTGCTCCTATAAAGATTTCTTGCCTTGGAAATCTTATATAGGGTCGCTGAGTCAGCACTTTTAACAACAACACTAGTGATAGAATAAAAGATTAATAACTATCAAAAACTCACCTCCATTTTCTGTGTTCATATCACAATACACTCTATATGGTTTGACAGAACTCTCAGGCTGAATGAGATACATTTCTGATGTTTCACCTCCTTTCCTGATAATTTCCTCACATTCTGCAAGCATAAAGTAATATATTGTATTTAAGGAAGTACAACATCATTATGTGGTCTTCTCATCAATTCTATAATAAAAATCACTGATTTTATAGGTTACATAAGAATGATTCTTAGACATTTAAAAATGATACCATAGAAATTGGATCTTTTTATTATGGAAAATCAAACTCTACTTTGAAGTCAAGGGGATAAAAAAAAAAATCCCTCCTTGCACTTTGTTGTGGTTGTCGTTAGGCACCATCAAGTTGATTCTGACTCATAGCGACCTTATGCACAACCAACAAAACACTGCCCAGTCCTGCGTCATCCTCTGGACATGGAAACACTTCTATATTTAGCTACATCTTTCCATCTGCTCAAGCAAGGGAGTCCATACACACACACCAGCCACCCCTGGAGCTCCCACCATAATTATAACCCAGCTTGCTTATTAAAAACTGTCACAGGGATTTTGTCAGGTTACAACATATTTTTTAAAGGATAATATTCATAGCTGTTATAATGTTACTATGAACTGTTGGGAAAATCCACTGAGCCTTTTTGGAGGGTGTTCTCTTATTTTTATAAGATGTGAATTTTCCTGGAATCCCATATAAACACATGGAACAACAACAACAAAATTAGTTACCTTTGCCAGACACCACAGGAACATTGCAGCTAACAGTGCATGGTGTTCGACAATATTCCATCTGAGCGGACACATCAGATTCTAATTTTTGTATTTTGTTTCTCAGGTTTTCCAGTATTGAACGGAGAACACGGAGGTTAGTTGGGATATTATCATTTACAGTCTCATCTATATACAATTGCTGCTTTTCCATCTCTGAGGAGTATTCATTTATTATATTTTCATTATCTGGAAAAATGAAATTATTTTGGTAATGGTCAGTATTTTCATCTCATAAAGTGCTAAATATGTTTCAGTTACATAATTATGATTTTTTATTATCTAAGAATAAACAAATAAGCATTAAACTACCATCAGGTTGTCATGTTATGCAATTGTATTGTTGTTGTTGTGTGCTGTCAAATCGGTTCTGAATCATAGTAGCCCTGTATAGGATTTCCAAGGCTGTTTTCTCCCATGGTGCAACTCGTGGATTTAAACTGTCGACCAGCACTCCTATGCAGTTATATTGAGGGGAAATTATTTGATTAATGGCATTTACAAATTAGTATACCATCTATCGACTTACAATCTGCTTTAGGCATAACCAAAAAATATAGTCAGTAGTATATATAATGAAAGGAGCTCTGGTAGCGTAGTGGTTACGAATTGGGCTGCGAACCTTAAGGTCAGCGGTTCGAACTACCAGCTGCTCCGCGGGAGAAAGATGAGGCTTTCTACTCCCGTAAAGATTTACACCCTCGGAAACCCTGTACAGGGTCGCTATGGGTCGGAACCGACTCGATGGCACTTAACAACAACAACAACAACAACAACAACATATATAATGAAGGAGCTCTGGTAGCATAGTGGTTACAAATTGGGCTGCTAACCACAAAGTCAGCAGTTCGAAACTACCAGCTGTTCCACAGGAGAAAGGTGAGGCTTTCTGCTCCTGTAAAGATTTACAGCCTTGGAAACCCTACACAGGGTCTCTGTGAGTTGGAACCGACTCCACGACACATCACCACCACCACCAGCAGCAGCAGCAGTAAATATAATAGGCTGTTTATTTCTTTAGTGATAAAAAGAGGAGACAGCAGTATTTGGGCTTTCCATCTCAGAAATCCAACTTCTTATAAAGGAGATACATTTAATCTCCTTATAATTCCACTTAAGTACAGCAGAGCTTGACATTTACAAAACATGTATCACAATTCCTTTGAAAAAAATCTCTAAATTTGGACATGCTACATTCTTATCAATGGAGAAAACATTGAAGTTGTCAAGGACTTCATTCTTCTTGGATCAACTATCAACACTCATGGAAGCAGCAGTCAATAAATCAAATGGCGTATTGCGTTAGGCAAATCTGCTGCACAAGACCTTTTTAAAGTGTTGAAGATCAAAGATGTCAGCTTGATGACTAAGGTGCACCTGACCCAAGCCATGGTATTTTCAATAACTCCATATGCATGCGAAAGCTGGTCAGTGAATAAGGAAGACCGTAGAAGAACTGATGCTTTTGAGTTACAATGTTGGAGGAGAATATTGAAAGTACCATGGGCTGCCAAATGAACTAACAGATTTGTGTTGGAAGAAGTGCAGCCAGAGTGCTCCTTGGAAGCCAGGATGGCCAAACTTCGTCTCTCATAAACTGGACAGGTTGTCAGAAGGGACCAGTCTCTGAAGAAGGATATCATGTTTGATAAGGTGGAGGGTCAGAGAAAAAGAGGAAGAACCCCAGCAAGATAAATTGGCAAAGTGGCAGCATCAAGCATGGCAACAATTGTGAGGTTGGCCCAGACCGGGCAGTGTTTCATTCTGTTATGCATAGGGTCACTATGAGTTGGTACAGATTCGATGGTACCTAACAACAACAAAAAACTAACTGGATCACACATCAATATAAAGAAACTGAAAATTCCCACAATACCACTAATAAGCAATATCATGATAAATGGAAGAAAGATTGAAGTTGTCAAGGATTTCATTTTACTTGGATCTACAATTCATACCCATAGAAGTTGTTGTTGTTAAGTGCCGTTGAGTTGTTTCTGACCCATTACAACCCTGTATAGGATTTCTGAGGAGCAGCTAGTGAGCTTGAACCACTGACTTTGTGGTTAAAACCAATTTTGCAGTCCAGCGCATTAACCCACAGCGACACATCAGGACTCCACCCATAGAAGAGGCAGTCAAAAAATCAAGTGATGTATTGCATTGGGAAAATGTGCTACAAAACACCTCTTTAAAGTATTTAGAGCAAAGCTGTCACTTTGAAGACTGAGGTGTGCCTGACCCAAGTCAGGGTATTTTCAACTGCTTATATGCAAAAGCCAGACAATGAAGAGGGAAGATGGAAGAGGAATAGATGCATTTGAATTATGGTGTTGGTGAAGAATATTGAATTTATCATGAACTCCTCATGTGATGCCGTAGGATAAGCTTTTGGCTGCTAACCACAGGTTGGCAGTTCAAACCCACCAGCTGCTCCTTGAAAACCCTTTACAGGGTCGCTATGAGTCAGTATCAACTCAACGGCACTTAAGAACAACAAATGGACTGTCATAAGAATGAACAAATTTGTCATGAAAGAAATACAGCCAGAATTGTCCTTAGAAGCGAGGATGGTGAGACATTATCTCACAGACTTTCGACACATTATCAGGAGGAACCAGTTCCTGGAAAAGGATGTCAGCTGGGTATAGTAGAGGGTCAGTGAAAAAAGAGGAAGACCCTCGAGACAGACACAGTCACTGCAAGAATGGGCTCAAACATAGCAATGATTGTGCAGATGGTGCGAGATGAGGCAGTGTTTTGTGCCATTGTACATAGGGTTGCTATGAGTTGGAGCTGACTCAATAGCACCTAACATCAACAGTATCAACTAACTGAGAGGCTCACTCACTACCTGGTTTCTAACTAGTAAACCAATAGCACTCAACATTCAGACCTCAAGATTCTCAGGTTAGGTATTTTCTCCAATACAGTTGCCTATATCTCACAATGAAAACCTTGAGTGTTAATATATAAATGCTAAAGTGCTGCTCCAAGAATACTATCTTCTGAGTCACAAGACAAGTTGCTTGGAGACTAAAAATGAAAATCTTCCTTGTTGATGCCAAACTGAGAATGATAGTTCAGTAACAGCCCATTCTGGGAAAATTTCAGGAGAAGGTTAATAGGCCTATCTAGACATGTTAAATTTCTCATAATCATACATTCCTATGGCAGCTTACTGGTTTCAGTGTTATAAGTGAGAATTAAATGGAAAACACAAAGGTCTTTATTTACCTTTCACTTGCTTCTGTTTCTTATTCCACATATCTTTCAGCACAGTCATGTACTGAAAGGTGCTCAAAGAGGTCTGGGAGATGGACTCCACATTGTTATTTAATTCACTAACACTGTTTTTAGTTGGTCTTTCCTGACTTAGCAAAGTATCTTGTAACTGACATCCCGTAGGACACAGCACTCCCTGTAAACAACAAAAATACCAGGCATGAGGTGCAGGATTTGGGTTATGAATGGCTACTCATCAGCAGAAAGAAAGAAAATATAAAAACTTGCAATTTGATTTTCTTTATATAAGACCAGAAACTTTATCATCATATTTTTATGAAGATTAAAAATATCTCTTAGCACAGAAGAAACATAATTAGGCTACAAAGCATTCTGTTCCTCCACAAAGGAAATGGACAAAACACAAAGGTAAAGACAACACTTCCCCGTCTTAGGTCTTAGTCTTAATTTGTTATCTTAGACCCAGCTCAAAGAAAACTAGAAAGGAAATGTAAATCAAAGGCCCAATAAGTTGATGCTTTGCTTTTTATTTCCCAAACGGACTGAATAGCAGTGATGGCATTTGGGAAGTCATGATGGATATAGGTTTTTTCTGAATGGGTGCCTCTGGGTACCCACCAGATCTGGATCAGCGTGAAGGCAGCCTCCAGCATCAGGGGCTTTCCTTTCCACTTTCTTTTGGCCGGCAACTGCTTTGACTGGACGAGGACGATAGCCACCTCCACTAATGGGAGGTGGGACAGGCCTCAGTTTGTGAGCTTCTTCCCGCTTCTTGTCAAGGGGTCGATGACCACGGGCATCCAAACCGGGCTTCAAGAAACCAGACAAATAAAATGCACAGTATTAGAAAACATTTGAGACTTAACGATTTCAACACCCTCATGTTTAATTTGAGGGCATACTAAGTCTAATGTTTTGCTTACGCATCAGCTGGCTAGTTTATGTAGTAAATCAGCATGGGTCTTGTCAGTAACAGTAAAAGACCAACAGTACAAAAAAATGAATGCACCTTTGATACTTTTTAAAGCAAGGTCCTAAGACAAAGCTGCATTAGACTATGAATAATATTGACATCAGATTCCTGCAACCTGTAAGTTGGAACACATACAAAACAGTAAGCTATAAGATACTTGGGCAAATTACTTTGTGCCCTAGTTTTGTCATCTGTAAACTAAAGATAACCAGAATCTGCCTTATAAGAGTATTGTAGGATGAAATGACGTATTGCTATGGTTCATCAGAAAAGTGCTTGGTGCATATTATTGAAATCATACATCACAGATACTATAGTTGAAGTGATTTCTCCACTGCAAATTGCAATTGATTATTGAAATCAATGAAATTTTTTAACAAATTATTCTCATGAAATTTCCTCCATAATTTCTTTATCAACACCATGATTTTCTTGCCTATAAAATAGTTAACAAGGTATGTGCAATGCTATTAAAATTATTTGCTAACTTAAAAATATTACTAAAAGATAATAAAGAAAATAAATGCAATACAAAAATTGTGACCTGAAGCAAACATATTACCATAGATTCTTTGCCAGTAGTTGCATACCTTGATGAATAAACAATTGACTAGATATGAAGCAGCACTTGAGCTCTCTTGCTATGTTGTGACCCTGTTGTTGCTGTTAAGAGTCACCAATTTGATTCTGACTCATAGCAACCCTGCATATGGTTTCTGAGGCTGGATATCTTTGCAGGAGCAGAAAGCCTCAGAGTGACTGGTGGGCTCAAAGCACTGACCTAGTGGGTCTCAGCCCAGTGCTTATCCTACAGAACCTTTGTGACCCAGAAGTCATCAAATAACTCTAAGTAATGTTATTGTCAGTTACTCATTAAGTTAGAATATCTCACAGTAGGGATGCTAGGATTAAAATTCAGGCAAGTTGTTTAAACCCTACCTAACTACTGAACATGCTTTCTTAATGGGTAAAGATTTTGGAGAAATAGATATATGTCACATATGTTGAATATTTGGTCCCAGGCAAAGTTTGTGTGATCTAAGAGGAATTGTATGAGATGTGATTCACCTGTTCGTTCTAAATCAATTACAACAGAACAATATTTTCCTAGTATTTTATAGTAGCGCAAACAAGGTAATCCTGATGATCAGGCTTTACTAGAAAAAAAAGGAAATGAAGATTAAGGAAGACAAAGTAATTCTGTGGGCATTCAGGTCCAGGAAGCCCACTTACTGAAATAACAAAAACTAGAGAATCTACTTCATGCCTAAATTATTAAACAGTCTCTGTGATGATTAGCTGGTGAGCAAGAATGTGCAGGTATTTACCAAAGTCCTTTACAAATGTTTACTCTTACACATTCTTTACATTTTTCTCATCTAATATAAGTAACCATATAATCATCTTTTTATATGTACTGCCTTATAATTAGAATACTTTATTTCTCTTCAAATTCAACAAATGATCTAAAATGAATCATTGTACTTCAATATTATTACATATTCTAATGTCTAATGTGAAGATATTATGTCATACACATGAAATCTGACTATGGTTTATTAGTAATGAAATGTGAATCTCTTAAATATTCATTTTCCCAAAAGCATTTCTGTATTTTTGTAACTTCAAACCAATAGTACAAAGTCAGCTGAGACAGTACTCGAGAAAAGAACTGTTTTTCAAACTAATAAAATTAGACTAAGCAGTGTGTTTGGTAACCATTGATAATAACAATAAATATTAATACTGCTTTAAATTTTCTCATCTGAGAAAAGCTATTCATTTTCTATCACTATATTTTATTTTGCTTTTAAACTTAGGTCAGAATTCTGATTCATACATGGGTCAGTAATTTCAAGAATTACCTGTTACCCTCCTTTCACCCCAAAGCAACCGGTCTCAGTTTTTTCTTTTTAATGTATTTTTGTTATTTTATAGTCTGTAAAATTTTCAGAGTTTTGTCCTTAGAACTGTAATGATGTATTGCTAGAACTAAATAAAAATCATAGTACTCAGTATAATAACAAGTGAGAAAAATATACTTACCTTAGCTTTGTTCTCTTCATCCTGTGGGAAAACAAGGTGATAAATAAGAAAGCAAGAAATTATTATTTTGCTTTAATTTATGAAATATTATGAAACATTATTTAAATAAAATGAGTCCTTGAAACGAACAATTCCATTACATATCTATAACCAACACTTAATTACATTAAAACATTCACTTTTACTGAATGACTAATTAAATTTTATGTTAATACGACTAGTAATAAGATAATATTTTAAAACAATCACCTCATCTCCATCGTAATCATCAGAGCCTTGGGAATTAACTATAGAAACACATAATAGTAGCAATAATAGATATTTCATGGTTTTAAATTTTTGGAAGTTCCAAGACGCCATCCTTTACCAACAGACTTAACTGAAGAGCGTCTATCCTATATATATCTGGTTCCTCTACTAGATGTGACTTTAGAAATAGTTACCTTCCCTTTTAGTTAATATGTAATTTTTTGGTTTACTTGTTGGCTGAACCATTTTATCACTTAAGCAACATCTTCTCAGTAAGATTTATTTACTTGTCGTACAACTCTTCTTTACTGTTGGCTGAATTTAGAAAGTCTAGAGTTCCTCAATTCATTTAATTAGGCAATATGATGAGAAGTTAGGTCACTGCTCATTGACAATTGTGTCACTTTTCTTGTAAATTAATGTAGATGCTTCCAAGATGCACAAAAATGTGTGAGATTAAAAAAATTAATCCAAGCACAAAATTTGTTTCCATTAATGTTTCTTTAAAATTATGAGCTCAACAAAGATATACCATAAATGTTTATGCTTTAGAGCTATATCTAGAATTCAATTTTAAAAGAGATCATTAAAATAAGAAGTAACATTATATTATTGTGTGTTTATATTTTTTATGAGAAATAAATCAAAACAAAAATATATCAATGTATGCCTTATGGTATAATAGACAAGCAGAAAAAAATAGACCAGATTTAGTTTTTACTCTGACCTGACCAATTTGTATTTTATCCTTTATTAACATAAGTTAAAATGTTCAATAAGTTCTAAATGTTATTAAAATAATGGATTAACCAAATCTGTTGCCATCAAGTTGGTTCCAACTGATGGTAATCCCATATGTTACAGAGTAAAACTTTTTCACAGAATTTTCTTGGCATTCATCTTTATGAAATCAAGCTTCCAAGCCTTTCTTACAAGAAGCAGGTGGGTGGTTCAATCCAACATTCTATAGGTTAATTGTTGTTGCTAAGTGCTGTCAAGTTAATGTTGACTCAGCAACCCTGTATAGGGTTTTTGAGGCTGTAAATCTTTCTTATATGGCGCGGCTAGTAGGTTCGAACCACTGACCTTGTGGTTCTCAGTCCAGTGCTTTATGTTAGTATTCTTGTGTAAACTGTGCCACCAGAAAAATCAGGAGATTACAATTCCTAAATAAAAATTAAGGATTACGGTGACAGGATAGAGAAAGTTGGATGATAAATTTCCATGTAAGTTTAATTGTTGTTACTCCAAGTTTTTATAAATTGAATTTTAAACAAATATAAATAGTTGTTATGGTGTTGTTAAGTGCCTCCAAGTCGATTCCAACTCACAGCAACCCTGTGTAGGGTTTCCACGGAGTGGCTGGTGGGTTTGAACTGTCAACATTTCCATTCAAACCAATCTTGCAGTTCATTGCTTATCCTACAGTGCCACAGCAGAATTCCTTAGTGGTTGTTGTTAAGTGCCGTTGAGTCAGTTCCAACTCATAGCAACCCTGTATAGGGTTTCCGAGGAGCAGCTGGTGAGCTTGAACCGCTGACCTTGCAGTTCAAACGGCTTTGCAATCTGGCGCATTAACCCACAGCACCACACCAGAACGCCCCTTGGTGGTTAAGTCTTCACATATCTATTTTAATTAGTATGATTACACACAAACGGTGGTCATTTCTCTTCATCATTTCCTAAAAGCCATCAATCCATTCCTTTCATCTTTATATTTGTTTGTTGCAATCACAGTTAACAAGGACCACAAGAATCAATAGGAAATCCAAAGTGAACAACCCAAATACAAGTAAGTTTGTTGTTTTATAGCATTTTGGTGTTGTTTTTTTTTTTTTGTAAGAAGTGACACATTCTTGTCAAATATTTTAAAAACTGTTTCATTAGAAAGATAGCAGGTTATCCAGGTTTGGATAAGGAGTACTTTTAAAGCAATGCTTTGAAATATAATATTGATAATGGTGTGAGACCAACCAAATTTATTTCTTCACTTGGTAGCATAGGTTGCATTACAAATAATAATAACTCAGATTTATGGAGTCCTGGTGTGGCGCTGTGGGCTAATGAGATGGACTGCAAAGTAAGTTTGAACCACAAGGCCAGTGGTTCATGCTCACCAGTGCCCCTCGGAAACTCTATGCAGGGTCGCTTTGGGTCGGAACCAACTCGATGGCACTTAACAACAACAGCAAGATTTATGGAAACAAAATATTAAGCTTAAGTTAAGAAAACATTTGATTTCCAAATGTGTGCCCTATGATTGGTGGTGGTGATGATTATGTGCCATGGAGTTGGTTCCGACTCATGTTGTTGTTGTTGTCAGGTGACATCGAGTCGGAACCGACTCATAGCGACCCCATGCACAGCAGAACGAAACAATGTCCGATCCTGGGCCAACCTCACTACCGCTGCCACACTTGAGTCCATCAATGATGCCACCTGGCTGATCCATCTCGTTGGGGGTCTTCCTCTTTTTCTCTGACCCTCCGCCCTACCCAGCATGGCATCCTTCTCCAACGACTGTTTCCTCCGGACAATATGTCCAAAGTATGAGAGACGGAGCTTAGCCATCCTGGCCTCCAAGGAGCACTCTGGCTGCACTTCTTCCAAAACAAATCTATTGGTTCTTTTGGCAGTCCATGGCACTTTCAGTATTCTCCTCCAACACCACAACTCAAAGGCATCCATTCTTCTACGATCTTCCTTATTCACTGTCCAGCTTTCACATCCATATGAGGCTATTGAAAACACCATGGCCTGGGTTAGGCGCACCTTAGTCCTCAAGCTGACATCTCTGCTCTTCAATACTTTAAAAAGTTCCTGTGCAGCAGATTTGCCCAGTGCAATACGCTACCAGAGCTCCTTGATTAGTGAATAAATATTATACTTTAAGATTATTTTAATTTTAATTTTCTTTTGAAAAATATATATGTGGGTGTTAATTAAAATAAGGAGCTCTGGTAGCATAGTGGTTACGAATCAGCCTGCTAACCTTAAGGTCAGTAGTTCAGTTCAAAACTACCAACTGTTCTGCGGGAGAAAGAGGAGGCTTTCTTCTGCTGCGGTAAAGATTTACAGCCTCAGAAACCCTGTACAGGGTCACTATGAGTCGGAGCTGACTCCACGGCACATAACCGCCACCACCATTAATTAAAATAAGATGCAATAATATTTCCTCTCAAAATATAAATAAGAAAAATTTTCCTTTAATAACCTGGACAGTATTTTATTTTAATGATGTGCAAATTCTTGCAGATTTAAAAAGACCAAAACAAAGATTTGTTTTCTTTTGAAATACATTATCATACTTCCCTCATTTTCTCATTTAATTTTCTGCCATTTACCATTTTAGTTTCTTTGGGCACATTATGGAATCTTGCGCAATATTAAAATGAAAGTTTCCCTGCATCCCCATATTGTTCTATTCCAACTGGCATTCTTAGCATTGTGAGAAGAAAGGTGGAAGGAAACCAGAATATATGTTCCATATGGGCACAGGCTTACCATTCATTGTACAAGTAATTCTTAGGGGTCTTCTATGTGACAGGTAGTACACTCAGGGCTAGGAATACATTAATAAACAAGAGAGACATAGTAGACTCTCAATAAATATTTATAAAATTTATGCATAAACTGGCCTTCATTGACACTAGTCTCAAATGCCAAGCTCTGATCATTATTTATCATATTTAGCTCTTGAAACCACTAAGTCCTATAGATGATGAAACTGAGGCTCACAGTGATTAAGTAAACTATCCAAGGACGTACAGGGAGCAAGTGTCAGTACTGGGACTTGTGCCCAAGTCTGTCTCACCCCACAGTCCACGTTGTTTCCATCGCATCGTATTTCCCAAGGAAGTATAAACACTGTAAGAAATTCATCTGTGCCTCCTTTTTTGCTTGTTTGTTGTTTTGGGTTATTTTCCGCAAGGTTGGCAGTTTAAGCTCACCAGCTACTCCTCAGAAACCCTATACAGGGTCGCTATGGGTCAGAACCAACTCGACGGCACTTAACAATAGCATCATCTTGGAACTAGTGTCGCTGTCTCAGACTGACACATTCATTCTTAGCCAGACTCTGACTTAACACTGTCATCCTCCTACCTCCTGGGTGTAGATGTAGATATTCAGATCTGTGTGAGCGGCATGGCCAATGCAGTGATAATATCATGAGTTTCTTTAATTCTAGCTCTTGTTAGATGTTTTTCTATGTGGCTGCTCTTAAGTGCTGTCGAGTCAGTTCTAACTCATAGTGACCCTGTACAAGCCTTCCAAAAAGTGTCTTGTGGGTTTGAACCGACAACCTTGTGATTAGCAGTCCAATGCTGATCTTACAGAACGACACCAGAACTATTTTTCTATAGTTCTCCCCAAATTTAAAGTACAGTTACAGTTAAACTCTGAAGTACCTAATTACAAAGAAAAGTAGTATGTTTTCAGAAATTCCACTTACCAAAATAGTTCACTTAAAAAATAAATCGATGCCATTGGTGGATGGGAAAGGGAGTACTGTTTGTTCAGCCATGTGTTCAGGTCAACAGTGCAGCGTTCTTGGTATTAGCTGATACTGTGACATAAGTCAAGGGCAGTAAATCAGTGACAGAGAAAGCAGAGATGGTCTAGCCTACCAAAACAGTTCTCTGGTGAGAAGGACAAAGACTTATGGGAACTGTCAATGTACTTGTTGCTACTTTTACAGTTTATGACAGGCCCAGTAAATGTATTAAAAAAACAATGTGTGGTCATCAAACATTAATAGAGCACCTACTATGTGGCAAGTAGTGTGAGCAAACATTCAGAGATACTTTGATAAACAAGAGAGCCTAGGACCTTGCATTTGGGAAGCTTTATGTATAGTTGTTGTTGTTAAGGGCCGTCAAGTCAGTTCTGACCCATAGCGACCCTATATAGGGTTCCCAAGGAGCAGCAGGTGAGCTTGAACCACCAACCTTGCAGTTCAAACAACTTTGCAGTCTGACGCATTAGCCTACAGTGCCATACCAGGACTCCTTTATGTATAGAGGGGGACAAAAAGTGTTGCTTACAATAACACATAATGAGCCTATAAGCTAGGAGGAGGTGGGCACTTTCAGAACTTAGGGACCTCAACT